CAGTCCTCTCCCGCCCGTCCTCCCCACTTTGGCTCCGACACTTTGATGTTGCTCTCTAAAAGAAGGACGATCATGGTTGCGAAGCCATGTTGAATTGTGGGAGGTCAGGGTGCACTACGCGTGATCAAATCCTTTCAACGAACAATAATAGGTGCCTGGGAAATTTGCATATGTAGTGACTGTTTGGGTAGGTACATGTATTCTATAGTAGACCCAACCCACACTAAATGTGAGGGAGTTTTCTTTATTCTGAACAGATTAAAAATTACACCACTTAAATTTGTACACACAGTAATTAACCAATAACTTGATTTTTCATAAATTTGTGGTCGCGTCCATTTATCTGAAGCATCAGATCTATACTTTGGGGTTGCCAACTTTTAGGTTGTTGGAAGCTGTGGGCCGATGAACCCAAATGGGTATATTCTTCCTTCGCGGACGACTCAGAAATTACAACAAAAATTCATCCAATCGCAAAATTTGTTACATGCTGTGTGGAGAACAATTGACCGATAGAAGCAATCATTATATTACATTTGGCCATCACTATTGCAGTCCCAATTTCTCCCGTCAAAATTCAACGATTTAACTCAATTATAGACAAAAAAAATCATTCTTTTGGAAAGTTTGATTTTTCATTGAGAATACTTTATAAAATCTGTCGTAGTGGAGTTTTGGAAAGGAGGGCACATTTCAAAATGAAAGCAGACAGGGTCGCCAGAATGGAGAATTTCAGAGGGGCGTGGGTAGGCCTAAAATGTCAGGTAAAAGAACGGAAACAGAATCATCAGCCGTGCTGAGGGAAAAGCAGCATATACATGTAAAATGTTTGCCCTCTGTAAAATGGTAGACCTACCGATCTCACGTTATCACTTTAAGCATGCCAACTAACCTTATTGTCTAAAAATCACTGTCCTACTGCTTGAGAACATGTAACTATTTGCCAATACTAGTTAATTATGGCAAGTACAACAGTCTCAAACATGCAAATTGATTTAAACGTTGATATTCAGCTCATTTTTTTAGAGTGATGGGTGTCTGATGATTCTGAAGTAACATCCAATAAACATTTAGAAAAGACAAACACTTCGAGACACCAAAAAAGAGTCAAAAGAATGTACACATTGAGGGCCCGCACTTCAGATCTAAGGCCTGAGTAACTGGTACCTATCCCTAATACAAGTACTGGCCAGGCCACAATTTGAGCCCCATCCTTAGAAAATAAGAATAATGGACATTATTACACCCGGAACGATGAATGCCAATGTAAGCATAAAATTTATATATTTGTACAAGTAACAATGCACAGTAACTGTTTGAAATGAATATCAAGAATTGATGAAGACGAAGTTGAAAGCCCAGAGTCTGAAACTGTTTCTGAGGTTCATTGCTGACCTCTGCTCCCCTCACATTTTATGATTTAATGATTCAATTTCCTGGACAGCATTTAATTTCTTGAATATTTATCTAATTCTCTCTACAAGTGAGCTAAACACGGCTTTGATGTATGTGTTCAGCCCCATTTAAATTGTTGGGGGAAATTATGAGATTTTGAAAAGCAGTAAGGTCATTGAAGTAATGAATGGTGGGGATTAAAAAGAAACATCTTTAAAACACATTTCTAGAGGGGTGAAGACAATAAGCCATTTGCGAGTAACCCTTGATTTTTTTGTAAGTCTGCCAGATTCTGCAAGACTGCTATTCTGGCAGTTCGTCTCTTGTGAATATATAGTGCCCTCTGCTGACAGTGCTATTTGATTGTGCTAGCGGTACAACCAAACAGTAAACCAGTCTTGGGACTAGACTAGTGTCTGTGTAGAGCTGTGTACATGTACATGTATGTCATCATCCAACAGCCAAAACTGGTCTGGCATGATAGTTCTGCCATTAAGCTGGTCTTCCATGAGCAAGTCTTCCTTGACTGCCTGGGAGAGTCGAACAAAGTGCCACAGCTTCTGTATGCCTGTAGTCAAGTCTAGTAATCTGTGCAGAAAGCACTCCCAGGTTAGATGACACAACACAAAAATGATAAAGACCCAATTAGGGACTGGAGGATATTCAGTTTGATTTCGCTTTACAGTCTGTACACACAAGTCGAAAAAACATCAATTTTGCAAGATGATTTCTGCAAGTTAATTCATGTAACTGAGTTTGTTGTCTGTGTGTATATTTTCTATGTTCATGAGTTAAGTTTGAGGTTTTTGTTAGTGTAGCATTATATGTGTACATGTATATTAAGGATAGAAAACCTACCATGCAGAACTGAATTAAAAATTGGAATATGTCTTTTAAAGGTATTTGGGTCAAGTGACCAGAGTCACCCAGGTCAGGTCGGTAGAGGGCCATAAAGAGGGTCAAAGGAGATTTTAATTTTGCAAAGGGTACCGTATGCTGGTCAGTTTCAGTGCAAAGGTTTCTGCATACGCATGTGCATGTACAGTATCATGTGCAAAAGTAAATTAATATAAGTTGATTATACTTACTTAGATGGACTCCAACATCAACCAAGCAATCTAATTTTACACACATACTTTATCAGTGTTGTGGGGCTGTCTGTAAAGTATGTACACATTAAATTCTGACTTGTCGGGCCCTCCCTTCCCCCGTACACATGGCGTATGCAGCGGCACCAACCCCCCCTCCCCCTTCGTGCATACATACATGTATTTAATGGACGACCCTATCCCATTGTTATACTTTTATGATTTCCGGAGAAAGTATCGTTTGCAAAGTTGATGGGAGTCCTTCAACAAAGAAGAAAAAAATCAAACCCGAAAATGCGTCAGTGATGACAGCCCATAATGAGTTATAAAAAACCCATCACCAATTACAGATTTGATTGTCAGCAGTGAAAGAACACCAATGATTGCAAAAACCCATCACTAGTTTTCAATATGCATTAATGATGGAAATGTCCATCACCCCTTGTGAATATGCATCACTAGCTGACGGTTGATCACTGATTGTGAATATGGATCACCAATTGCTAAAGTGCATCACTGATTTGGTAATCGCATTAAATGCCTTTTTGGCAGTCTATATGGAACAATTTGAAAAGCTACAAACTACACCATATGGCCTACAGTATATGGGGATTTCAATCAGTCACAATTATTCTTTGTATCTTTGTTCTCTATATTTACACAGAATGTTGTGTTGGAAACTTCAGAAGCAAGACATGGGCGCGCTAAAAGCAGAAAACATAAGGATGAAAAAGGAAATGAGGGAAGAGAGAAGAATTTGAGGGGAGCTCAGGCACAACAATCACCCCAGAGAAGTCAAAGTAAGTGTGTTTTCAATAAGGCTTTGGCTAATGCTTAACATTTTCACCATGTCCACAACTGTAGACCGCATTGTGTGGAAAAGCCTTTTTTCCTGCTTGTCTTGTTTTTGCTTTTTTTTATCCTTGGGTTCTATCCCAGATCCCAAAGACTTTGTACAAGTTTTCCTCATCAGTGCTTTGGGCATTAAACTGGCAGTCATGGCAGTGAGCAATTTCGGCCTGGGTAAATAAGAAACAGTCGTCACATCTCAACGCCTGGAGCTCTATTTGCATAATGTGAGGTCAGGCTTTGGGAGTTACAAGCTTGACGCCTTGATGATTCGAGTTAGTCAACATCAATGTTCATGAACCGATAAGGTCCAAAATTGAGCTCAAATTTTTTTGAAAAATAGGAGGTAAGATTACATAGTGTAGAATTGATTCAGAAGTGGAGAGGGTATGGCATACATCGAGCACCTCCAATAGTTAAAATTCTTTCCTTTCAAAGCGCTTGAAAAAGTCAACAAAAATTCAGTATATCTGCATGTGGCTGTAGGGAGCACATCCTACCGTAGGCCACATTAATTGGGCTAACTATTTCCCATTTTCCCATCACATCGTAACTGTTCGTGTTGTTAAAGTGCAAAAAATGCGTAATTCACTTCAAGGTCGGTTCATGTCGAGGTAATCTTTCTGTCTGTGTATGGGTTGGGTGAGCATGGTCGGGTGAACGCCATGTTGAGCAGCTCCTGCCGATCTGTCAACGTTTTGAGAGTTTTTTTGCTGTTCTATCTGTACATTTTGGTTTTAGTGTACATGTAGTTAAATGTTTTTAACTGGCATTTCCTGCTTCCTACGTGCCAAGTTTGAATGTATAACTCATAATTGTTTCTGTGATATCAACTGGATTTTACTTCACCATTTTGCAAGTGTGGAGACTGTACGTATTCTTTCGTTTACATGAGCTCATAAAGCCATTTATCACATACCGCCATCTGTACTACCAAGAAGGTACAGGTAAGGATTACATAAAATGCAGTGAGTGTACTCCACTGAGCAGCTAAAATAGGCATGGAGTTGCCACAAGCTGTTTTTGGCGAGCTGTGAAGCAAATGGGAGCATACATGTATGTAATACTGATTTCCGTCTTCTGTTTGTCGGGCCGTCCGTCTGTCCATCCGTCTGAATAGTGACAATTGCTGTCAGAGCCAGACTGCTTTTTCACTGCCCATTCCAAGCAGGTGGAAAAGGTCTCAAACCAGGCAGGGGCACACAAAGCTCACACGGGTAAGGCCTTGTCCACAAGGTAGCTACTCTTCCACCTGATATGCTCAAAAGACAAAAGTCCTCAGGGTGAATTGAGAGAAGGCAAAAGGCTGATTTTATGTCTGCCTTGACTAGCAGTGTACCCTTTCCCACTCTAACTACCAAATTGATTGCACTGTCAAAATTTGTACACTGGACTGTGCGTAGATGTTTGTCTATCCGATCATTTACGGAGGTAAGCTCTGGGTACGAAATGTTATGAATCAGCCTAAAGGTGCCCGGCACCGATTTTGGTATTAGTCCTATGTGGGAGATTCTGAGATTAGGAATCGGTAGCTCTGAAAAGGGGCCCACCATGCGGCCTAGTTGAACCTCTTCAGACAGTTTCGCAAGAGCAATGGTAGTATTTTGAGGGATGGACCTACATGTACGTGTTGGGTTAGGGCATGTGAGTGTTCGCGTGATCCATTGAATCCTAACTTAAAACCTTCTCTAATTTTTTTTAACCACTACGGAGGCTATTCGCTGCTTCCGTATTTGGGTATGCCTCTTAGAGAGACAAAAGTACTGGTACGTTAATGGGAGTGTGAGCAAGACAACAGAGACATTTTTTTCCCTGTGGGGCATGAACCCGACAGTCTGGAAGACAAAGTATTAGAATTGTTAGCGTCACTGACTACATGATTTACCTTGTGCTTTGCAGGTAGCTCCCCCTCCCCCCCCCGTGTTCAGCTGAGAAATAGCTGGAACATTTATATGTGTGTTTGCATTGAGCATTGGAACATCCTGCGCAGTTGAATGCGAAGCATAAACCGCTTCCATGGGAGATGGAGTTGCCGCGAAAAAGGGCGAGGCCTTAACTGAGAGAGTTTTTCTTTCTCCCTTTTGGCCACTGAACCCCGAGTGAAATGACCAGGCTGTAGTAGGAAGAGCGCCCACAGTTCCCCATCGATACAAGCCAAGATCTCTGAGGATGGAGTTGCTGTTGCATGCAGAATTGCCCATCATATTGTAGCCAACCTTTCCCTGCAAAATGTGCTGCAGCAATCCTAATAATGTGCATGTACTTGAGAAATTCCAGAGCCCTCCCCCAATGTGCCCCAACAAATATTGATGGGAAAACCAAAAATGGATCTGTCCATCCCATGATGGAAGTGATTTGGGTTTTTTTCTTTGCATCTCGCGACAATGATTGCCTGGAGTTACTGAGGCGCAGTGTATAGCTCGCATTGGAAAGTGGACTATGGTGCTCCAGAAAAAAATCCAATTCAATGAACTCACTTTTTACAATTTTTCTCTTATGCTGGTGGGAACAGTAGCCCCAAGTGGATCTCAGACTGAAATTAGAGGGCCTTTGTTTATCCCAAGGGGAGACATAGTAGGCCTACCTAAAGAGACCCTAAAGTGGCCAAGGGTGTCTGATGAAGAAAGAATACGTGGTCACAAACCAGTGGTAGTACTGCTACTGGGCATGCTACCCAACTCACCGAGTGGGCGATGACTTTGTCCCGCTGTTGAACCATGATGACTCATGGTACTTGCTCCAATTGTTGCCTGGGGGTGGGCAGACACGGGCTCTGCAGACTGGATTGCCACCATGGGGGTTCTGAAAGTGAGTAGCGATCTGCCATTGTTGCCCGCCAGGCACATGTAGGTGAGCTCTGTTGTGGGTGGGAATACGCCCGTAGGCGCTGCCATCGGAGTGGTCGCATTTACGGTATTCCGTGCTGCTGTTGTGGTTGTGTACGCTGCACACATTTCGTTTCCTCCAAGTGGCAGGCTTGTCATGTTGGACATCACGTGGGACAACTGGCATGACTGGCTGAATCCGTTCCCCGGAGTATCGTCTCCTGTCTTACCTGCATTCATCTTGTTCGCTCTCCATTTTTTCCCATGGCCTTTCGGCATCCTAGATGGGCCTTTAGAGTTATTTATCAGGTTCACTGGTAGGTAAAAACCGTCTCTTTATGAACTGATCGGTACGGCTAGATTAATTTCGGTGGTGATAGAACTGGAAGAAAAAGTGTGGTTATTTTGCTCCCAATGAATTACGCGTGCTATGTACCCGAGTGTGATTGGGTAAGCCTATGTGTGCAACATTAAGAAGCAACTGCTGTTGGAATATCCAATACTTACTCACCCCGGACCCAAAGTTTGTTTACCAAAGACAAGCTCCGGGAAACTGTATTCCAGAACAGGGTGGACTTCATTTGTATAATTTGGATATCTCTTAACATAAGCTGTTATTTCATGAAAGAAATTCAAATTCATAAGAAGCAAAGAGCCATGGCAGCTTTACCATTTCAATTGTTACTTTACGAGAAGTGAAGAATAACCATAAACCACTAACACATCAGATCCATCGCAGGGGAAACTTACCTGTTGACGTCCATGCTATCGGGTTGGTTCAATACCTGTCATCGTGGGAAGGCAGTGGCCATTTTTGAATGACTCATTGAAGAATGTCGCATCATCTTCAACAAGAGACTATGGAAATCTTAGTAGTATAAAAAAATGATAGCTACAAAGTTAACTGTTTTCTTATACTTTACGTGAGTACCTTAAACGCTCATTCTGTCTGTAACCTTCCACTTCACTTGGCTACTGACCTGAACAGAGACTATTCTGTTGTCTCTCTGTGATTTCTCCTTCTATCGAACCTGCCATACTTATAAATTCGTCCCTGTTCTACCCTAGGTGAGTTTGATGATACATTAGTCTTACTTTAATGCCTAAGTTGAAGTGTGTTTCCTTATCTAAAAGTTTAGACTGAGTCATCATAGGTCACGTTGCGTTTCTTAATTGCAGTCATGGTAATTTTGGCTGAGAATGTTTTCAAAGAGTAAAAGAATTTGTGCACATCTTAATTTAGGCCAAAGTTCACTTTAGAAGTTCTATCTGTTGACATCCGTTTAAGATTCTGTTGTTTCCAGATACAAACACTATTTCTTTTGCGATATGTTCCATGATTTGTCCAAACACTCTGACTTCATGCTCCCTGAACACTGAATGAATTTAACTTGCTGTACGATTTTCATTTGATTAGAAAGTTTATCATTCTTGACTAGTCTAAATTAAGTAAAACTTAATTCAGAAAGAATTGACTCCTAAGATTACTTGTATAGTGTTATTTTCCTTACATGATGAATTACTTTTAGGGTACATTGAATAATCGTATTCTCTTGACCAAAGTGAAGAAAGGAATATTTCCTCCTGTGCAAATTAAGTCTGTGAATTTGCAACATTTCTCTTTGTTTGATTACTTGATCTTGGCAAAGACATCACCAGAGTAAGCCTATTGAGCAGCACATGCATATGCTGTCAGACAGTGGGTGGCTTAGACCATAGCCACATGAATTTTGTTTTGAAACCTGACTTAGTCAAGGGGAAGGAGAGACTGTGCATTTGAACTCTGAATGAATTTGATTGGCCATGAAACAACTAGGCATTGAAGAATGGATAGTGAAGGTGACTCAATCCGTGTATGAGCATGCCCACTCTGCAATGAGGGTCAACAACATGTAGAGCCAAGAGTTTGATGTCAAAGTAGGAGTTCATCAATGCTCAGTCTTGAGCCCACTCCAATTCATCTGCGTGATGGAGGCACTATCCAGAGAATTCCGGCACGGCTGTCCGTGGGAGCTCCTCTACGCAGATGACCATGTGATCATGGCTGACACTGTAGAAGAGGTCATGTATCGGTTGTCAGTTTGGAAAACAAACCTGGAGTTGAAAGGACTGAAAGTCAACATGGG